TTGCAAGCTCTTTATTAAATTTATAAGGCCACCTTACTCTATAACAACTTTGGGAGGCATATGATAAAAGGAAGTAATATGGGAAAGGAACAATGGTTTGAAAACAATGAAATACCCAGGATCTGGCACTTGTGCTTACCTGAGGCCTAGGGGAAGAGCCAAGTTTTCAGAATTTTTGTAACTATGGCCAGAGTGGAGACCAGATGTTCTTGGATGGTGGGGTGTTCCAGAAGGCCGAGAAAGCAAAACACAATTGTTGGGCTCTGGGGGTGGGTGGGTGTAATTTAAGAGTCAAGAAGGGGGGTGTTAAGTTCTTGGGCAAAATGTAAATAACTTTTACAGGAGTAATGAGGAAGTGTATAAGCAGCTTGAGGTTGTTCAATAATAAGGAAATCTGAAGGAAATCGGGGAGCATATCACCTTATTTCTTATTTATACTTCTGTTTTGTTTTCTAGCTAATAAGGAGAATGTGTTGGGAAGCAGCCAGCCTTGGGGAAGGCTCTCACTTGGAGTTAGCCCGGAGTCACTACCCAACTGCAAATGGCCTAGGACCGATTGACTGACCCAAAGTTCCTTGGAACTATTTGTTCCCAAGAGAAGGCTGCTATTGTGGAGAGATTCATGGATTGTAGACAGAACATAATAGCTAGCTTGAATTCTGCATGTGTGCATCTGGTTGTGTGCACCTGACAAGGTAAATAATCCCTCATTTATGTGAATTTTCTCTTGCCCTGGAGTTGGATTAAAAGAATTTTATTCCTAACCACTTACACAAATGGGCTTTGGAATTGTATTATGGCCCTTTTCACCCCAAGTTTGCAATCTGGTGCCCAGAACCTGCTGCTTACCTGCCCAGAAGTGAAAACTTTTCAGCAGCTAAAACAAGTTAAAGGGAATTTTGATGATTTAGTTCAAGGGTCTTCAAACTTGGTAAGTTTGAGACTTGTGGACTTCAACTCCCAGAATTCCTGAGCTAACATGACTGGAGGAGGAATTCTGGGAGCTGAAGTCCACAAGTCTTAAACTTGCCAAGTTTGAAGATCCCTGAATTTTAGTTTAAGTCACTGGGAAAATTGTTAATATGTGTTCAGTGATGATAATTGAAAGCTAAATGAACCATTATCTACTGGTAAATCAAGGAGAGAGCCAACTTAGAATTAAGGAGAAATTTTCTGACAGAACAATTAATCAGTGGAACGACTTGCCTCCAGAAGTTATGAATGCTCCGACACTGGAAGCTTCTAAGATATTGGATAACCATTTGTCTGAAGTGGTGTAGGGTTTCCTGCCTAAGCACGGGGTTGGACTAGAAGACCTCCAAGGTCCCTTCCAACTCTGTTACTCTGTTATTTTATTCTAAAGGTTGTCAAACTATTGTTGCCACAAATGTGGTAAGATTACCTGAGGCATTCCCCAAAGAAGCAAATTCAGACTTCCTGTTTCTACCACCACAAGATTGGTAAAACATTAGCCAGCTGGAATTTAAAAACTAGAGAAAAGTATTTCTGGGTTCATTTATTAAAAGGTGGCCACTTTTAAGTCAAGTTCAATCTGTGGTAACTGTATAGGCACCCGTGCAGTTTTTCTGCTGATAGTAAAATATTTGGCCACTGCTGCCTAGAAAGTGTTTTTTTAAAAAATAAATAAAATCCAAGTGCAATTCAAAGTCCTGCTTATTATTACATAGTGGTTTCACGTGCAAATAGGCAGAATGGCCTCTACTAGACTTTTGCGATTGTTTCAATTTGTAACAGTCAATCAAATAACGTATGACCACTTGTTTATCTATGGTAGAAAAGATTATTTTGGAAAAAAGTAAAACGAGAACTGTTGTAAACGCATCTAGCTGACAAACCTTTTGATTTTAGGGTACTTTCAAAATGGTGAAAGGAACTTATAGGAAAGACCATCACTTACTGAACCTGGGCTGCTTGCTCCTGCCTCCATTTTCATTCCCAAGTGGACTTTTGGGGGGCCTTGGACCTCAAGGAGTTGGGGATTTTACTCCAAAGCCCACTTTTTAAGCAGGCCTACGTTGTCATTAGTTTCTCAATCAGTAGTGCAGAATGGTAAATGTATCCATGTTTTAGAAATGAGAACCTTTTTTACATTACACAACAAAGCCAACAGGATGGTTATGGGTAGAACAGAACTAGTGAGTCATACAGGATAGGTATTTCATTTGGAAGGTATTATTTAAGACCTTTTCAAGTTCTTCCATTCACTTATTTAACAGTATCAATTTGCAAGGGAGGCCTTAATGTGCCGGCTTAGAATAACATGAATTTATTTCAAAATAAGTTAAACCAAAATTGATGTTATTGATAATATTCAAGAATGTGATCTAACTTAATTATTATTAGAAAAGGAAAGCAAAGCAGAAACAATAACTACCGGTACTTGGCTGAAACAAAACAATTGGAAGTCCGAACAGTTCCTTTCTCTGATAAGAAAATGGGTATCAATCTGCACAGGTAACATAAAACTTCTGACAAAATGAAGCCAGCTTGAAGTTATAAGACAAAGCTATATGCAGAAATATGTATGGAAAAAAAGAAAAATGGAGGGGTGAAGAGAGACTAAGTAGACACGGAATTTACTGATACTGATAAACTACTTCCCTGCCTCCTTTTGAGAAGTTGCCATTCCAGTTAAACTTAAGTAACTGCTATTTTCATTTTTTCATTGTTCAATAGGGGTAAACTGGAATCAATACTAATACTTTTGAAAAATTAGGATGATGAAAATCCACAGGTCAACTGACTTGTGAAGAATAAAGGCAGGAGAACTCTGTTTATCCAATATGTATTTCTGACTTCTTGTTTACTGCTCCATGAGCCTTCCAAGTCACTTCTAAGGATTAAGGGGCCCCGTGATTGATGTAAAACGTAGCTTCTCAAATTTCCCAAGGATAACTTCTCTTGAATAGATTCACTCAGAAATATTTCTTCACCAATTTTATAGAGGAAAAGATGTTTCATGCATCCATGTCAGATTTCAAAGAACAGATACCCTTCAGGTAAGTTCTAATTTATAAAAAAGCACATTAATTTAAAAAGTGAATTCTTATACATAGGTAAATAACTGGTTTAGATATGGTATCTAATTATCATTAAGAACATTTTCATTTATACAATAGTAATTAGACAATGGATGTTAAAATGTATTTTATCCAATATATACATAAATGTGACAGATATACAAATTTGGACATACAAAACATTGGGATCTCAGGTGTTCTGTATTTTCCAGTGGAAACTTTACAAGGCGAATACATAGAAGCTTCTATAGAAAGTACATGGATCAAGTATTACTACAAAGGTTCATCTTAAACAGCTCCCATTAGCTTCAACTACCAAGTTCAATTGCAAGGGATTGTTTCATAAGTGACCTAACAAGTGGGAAACTAACAGATAATTGAAGCATAACCGGTACTTTGATAGACGGCATATAAATACTAAATAATAATATTAATATCAAGAACTGAAAATTGAAATTGAAGTGACATAAACCAGCCATGGTGGTCCTAATGGTTATCTTAGAAAGCACTTAGAAAATCAGTGCACTGACATTTCCATTTATCAACTGCAAAAGGCCACACTGCTTAGATTCCCAGATATTCTATGCTGATACATTATGACATCCTGGGCTCTTGGGAAGAAGTTTATTTGTATGAAGACCAACTGCAGCTGCGATGTTGTGAACAGGTAATTAAAAACTTGACAAGTGGATTAACAATGTCAAATCCAGTCTAACCATCTGGCTGTGTGATCAACCATAATAATGCAACAATATCTTTAACATTACAAATAACAACATCTACTTATTCCAGTTCCAGTTGGAAAGGATTCATCAGGTGGACAAAAATGCCAAATCCAGTCTAAGCATCTGGTTGATTGCACAATCAATACTACTACTAATAATAATATAAAAATCCACAAAGAAAAAAAGATTATGCACCTTCTTTTAGCCTCATATAGCTAAAGTTTCCAAAGAAAGTAGAGTAGTAATTATAGTCAGTGGATCACCCCCTTTTGGAAAGAAGAATGTAAGACCAACATACTGCATAAACTTACACATTTTCATTTTTCTATACAGAATGTTACAAGTGAACATTACATCATTCAATATGAACTAATAGCGGCCTAGATGCTGAGCAGACCTAAACAAATCTATATCAAAGGAGATATCGAAGAAGGGTATGTGTGTATGTGTGTGAGATAAGAGAAGGTTTCAACATATGTACGATTGTTTCCAAGCTACTAGCTGAGGAAAGCCATTCCTGTTGTTCCATACTCCTACTGTGTAAATATATTTCAGTCAGATAGCAGAACAGTGTTCCCTGTATTATAAATATGACACTTCATTGAGCCAATAAGTTATAGGGTAAATTTGCAATATATTGAGGAGCAGTAAATTATATTTGAATTAAGCTTTATATACATGTAGGCTATTTAACGTATAGCAGAGTACAAAAGATCTATGTTCTTTCAACTCTTCAAATCATATATTCTTTGGATGAGAAGATAAATTTCACTGGAATTTCTGAATTCTATCAAGTAGCAACTTCTATGAGAAAACTGTTCTACAGCAAATAAAATTATCACATATTTAACAATTATGTAAATTGAGAGCGAGCTATTATGAACTGAAATTACTATACACTTCAGGTATTTTAGTTGGTATTATTTTAAAAAAAATGAACATTAGAATAAACTATTTTTATGGTATGCAGGAATTTGCATGCTTCTATTAAGAAGCTGCGTAAATGAGATGCACTGTTCTCTTCCATTTCCTGGAGCCTCCACCCCAAAACTTTTGCATATGCTGTAACTGTCACTCCTTCCAACAATTCTGAGGCAAAGTACCTATGTTATGTCACAAAAATGAAGAAGCGCTTTTATACAAAATGTCAGCTTGAACAAAATACAATGCATTTTATCTTTCAGAAACTGAACATATAAAGTAAATGTCTTTCCAAAATATCTTCGAAGGCAAAGGATTAAAAAGGATTTTAATTATACACATATAGTCACAATTCTTGCCTTAAAAAGGAAACTGGGAAATGTACATAAGGCCGCTTGTAAATGTACACCTTTATCTTACTGGTACAGTGTTGTGTTTAAATTGACAGTATCATACATATTTGCTTTAGGATGAAACAAGCTGTTCAAAAATACAGCATTCTTCTATACAAAAACAAATCGTGCCACATTTAAGATGGAAGAAGCACTGGTTTCTGTCGTCAGTATTTCTGTCTATTAATTATCTTTATTCTCATTAATGTTTAAACTGATTTAAGTTTCCAAAATGTCCATATTAACAGAATAGCTATGTAATAAACAAAGGATTTTTGTAACAGATCAAAGAAAGCTGATTCACATCTCTGAAACCATATAAAGATAGAATTTTTAAAAAACCAGTCTTGATTTGCCGAAATAAATTTACATTATACAACACTATGTCAGGATAGAGGGGCAGGGATATGAATATACACTAAAATGCAAATTTTCTTCCCAAAAGGGGTAAAACAAATTACATTTACAGCATGAAGGTTTACAAATGTACATCTGTACAACCAAGGTAAGCATCACTACTTAATTAGCAAGGCTTTTAAAACATTGAAAACAAGGAATCGGTTTACAAACGGTAAACTTACATCGATTAACTATACTTATATAATGCTTATATTTATAAGGAAGCAAAAAAACCTATCTGGATATTTAATCATGCTTTAGATGTTGCACTATCAAATTTAAGTAGGCTCTTTCCTCCTTGAATTGCCTACAAATTCATCTACTACTTCAAGCATATGCTCAATTTTCAAATCCCATCTTATAATTGTATATGCAAAGCAAAACACACATCTTACATCAACTGTCTGCCTATTTATTTATTGAATTTACTCTTTCCCGGACAGTACATTGCTGGATCCAAGTACTACCTTGATTTTATACCCTATTCTTGCACCATTAGTTAAATATTAAATTATATACATAGCTTCTGTACACTGCTGGAGAAAAGGGCACTGTTTTTTTTTTTAAAAAAAATATTTCCAGAGTAAAAGGTGGAAACTACTCATCAGTGTTCACATTTTACGATTTCTTTACTGATATTTGCAGTATCCTGATTGTTTTGGGGACTATAAAATTGTGAACCACCAAAATACAGAACTTAACTTTCTGTATCATGTTAAATAATAATTATGCAATTGCTTTATTTCCAACTATTATAAAAAAGATTCCACACAAAGGGGAAAAATGAAAACTAATTCTATATACAATTATATAAACATGTTGTGCGATGATGGTGGATAGACCTACCAGACTGTAAGCCAGTATATTAAAAGAATACTGTACTTTTTCCCTTTAAAAACTATTTTATTCAGTGACTTTACAAGGTAAAAATTTACAAAATGGGAGAGCTATTCCGATAGTTACATCATTTACAGGCATTCTGTGCTTTGTAAGCCTTGCAATCTGATAGGTCTCTGTTAAGAAATGGCAATTATGTTGTAATTCATTCCCCCAAAATATACACATGAATAAAATTTTTACAAATGGATGAAGTCAATAAATATATTTTTAAAAAATCACAAAATTTTAGTTAAGTTGGGTGTTTTGATAATTCACAATACAATTCCTCTTTTAGACTGCTTCTTAAACTTATCTTCAAAGCATCCCATTTGGTGGTCCTCCAACTGGCCCCAGATCAGCATTGTTCTTCAGGTAATATTTTTCCAGCTTGGCAAGGATATGCTTCCCATATGTGTATTTACGCAAGGTTGTAATATGGGGTCGAATCTGGAATGAAGAAATCGAGACTATTAAATACCATGTGCCATTTTGAAGAGTAGTTAGAAGGATAAAGACAAATATAACCCGTCTTTCACTAAATGCTCAAGGTGTCTTTAGTTAGTATTTGTGACCATGAATATTTGTGAATGTTAAGACCCCCGATGAAGAACCAACTGTGAGTAAAAGTGCTACATTAGTATGTATACAGATACAATAGGCATTGTAATGCCTATTAACTAGAGTTTTCTCCTATTTTTGCATTGAATGGGAACAGGTTCAGTATGCTCAAACACGGATCATCATCTTCTTCTTTTAACAACCCCATAATCCCTTGTGGGGTGGAGTCTAGCCAACTGAATGGAGCTAGCAGAATGTTTTAATGGCCGGATGCCTTTCCTATTGTCAATGCAGTGTTCTGTTCAGCAGATATATTCTCAGTGTGCCTAGAGAGAGAAATATCAGCCTCTACCTAGGATTGAACTCATAGCCTCCTGATTGTGAGGCGAGAGCTCCACTTCTAGGCCACCGCACCACTCCACGCTCAAGCAGGGATATTACATATAAAATATAGAAGTGAAGAAAAAAAATGGATCAAGCTTTTCTGGATCACAGAGAGAACCCAATGACAATTTGTTATATTAACAGATAGGGAACTGTAACCTAGAACACAGTCAAATGAAAATGCCACATTTTAGGTGTATAACAATATATCTGACAAAAGAAATAATGTCGGTGCAGTCAAAAAAAGTTATGGACTTAAACTCTGAATTCAAGAAAAGAACACATTTGCAGTAAAGAATGGCAATTATTTTTTATCCACAAATGAATCATGCTACCCCAAAGTTAGTTATACATTTCCATTACACTGGGTACTCTTATTTTATTACTAAACTGAGATGTTTTGGGTTAAAGATTTGATAATGTACATTTAGACAACAGTTAACCAGTAGAGGTGTGAACATTAGCTATACTCTGATTCAAACTGATTAAAAAAACAAATCAGTTCTTGATTTTACAATTCAGTGTGTGAAACTGGGTGTTAGATTTTCTGAATTGATTTGGTAGCCAATCTGATTTTTGAATTTGATTTCTGAGATTCAATTAAACTAATGTTGCACTGAATCACAGAATTAAAGATTTGTGCAGCCCTATGAGTATGGACAATGGACTGGATCTACAGGAAGGCTGAGAAACAAATGGGCTACATGCAATCTTAACCCTTCTTTTTTCCCATAGTACCCAAGATTGCACTCTAAAATGTTCAACGTTAGTATTTTTCACCTTTTTAAAAAGGAGATAACACGTTATAAGGGTGTCACTCAAAGACTCAAAATTTCATCCCTAAAAGGTCTGTCCTTTTGGTGAAGATAAAATTTAGGGTTTTTTAAAGTAGTTAAATTGTTCCTCCTTGTTGTATTTTTTTAATTGGACACTATACAGTAATGTTTGAAATTTTACAAAGAAAGTTATTGGTAATCAAAGTTTGTTTCTGTCAACCTTTATATAAAGAGAAAAGATTGCAGAGAGAAATTTGGAAGAATAAAATTAAAAATTGAAATATTTTTCATAAAATATAGGTTATTAACTTACACAAAATAAGAAAATAGAAATGGCATTATAGGAGATGATTGGCAGACATAATTGCATCAATCTAATTACAAATCTTGGAAAATATTTAATTTTAAACTCTTGCAATAAATTCACAAGAAAAAGCCAGCACTTGTGACAAGACATACTCCTTTCCTTCAAAAGGGGATGAGGAATTGTTCTTTCCTTGATCTGCTGATGGAAACAATTCTTAAGCAGAGGATCTAAGGATTTTATTCTTACTTTGTGCATTATAATCTTACGCTGAGCTGGTTCCGCCATGTCAATCATTTTCTGAACAACATAGTTTGCATATTGGTCCTTCATCATGGTGTATAAGGCACTGTGAGGACCATCGTTCTGACAACATACTTCATCAATAAGCAAAGCTCTTTCAGCACGAGATGCATGAGTCACACATTTTTCCACCACATTGCTGTAAAAGTTATGAGATTGGAAAATAGAAACAAACACAGATTTTACCTGAACTCTCAATCAACACAACAAAATTATTGCCTCGTGCTAACTGCAATTCATATGAGCTTCCTTTAACCTTTTCCTTGAGTAATTGCTGGGGTTCCATCTGATACCCATAGACTATACTGAAGTGCATATTACGGAGTTTCTTTGCAATGCAAGTGAATTGAGATTTCCCTTCTACCTGCACAAAAGTGAACAAATAATACCACCACACTCCATTTTCATCTGAAAAATAAAAATCCTGCCCTTCATCAGGAAAAGTTGGGATCTATTGAATTACAGAATGGAGATCAAGAGCTCCAATGGACTATTTTTGTATTTTTAATGGCAGAAGAACTGTCCTCAGCAAAATGAATAATTTCCTCCATATCCTTGTATAGAGAAGAAACTTCCTGATTAAAAATTTAAAATATGTAATCTTTTCATTTATTTATTTACTTCCCACTGTACTTTTTTATACATAACCCAAGGCAGAGGATATATCCAATACACCTTACCCCTCCTATTTTCTCCACAACCACAACCCTGTGAGGTGACCTGGGCTGAGTGTGTGACTGGCCCAAGGTCATTCAGTCAACTTTCATGCCTAAAGCAGGATTGGAATTCAGTCTCCTGATTTCTAGCCTGGTGCCTTAATCTCTACACCAAACTGTCAGCTCTCTCTCTCACACACACCCCCATTCTTTTTTTCCATGCATGTGAAACAATGTGGGGCAGGTGAGGGAGCCAAGGTGTTAAAATCAGCTGCATTCTACACATCATTAATATACAATGTATTTGGGAACTCCTATAACAATTTAGCTTTCTGACCTTTTTTCCACAAAGTGTACTCTGAGCAGTCCCTGAGTTTTGTTCAGATTTGGGGTGGTACAGGGAATAGAAGAGGAATGGAAATATGGGACATTCCTACTATGCAAATATAATTCTACTTCCACATTATATTTATAAATACATTTATGTATATTACACTGCTGTACACAGACTAACTTGGAAAATTCAAAACCAGCTGTCATGTATGTTAATTTCTGGTTTCAATCAAACTACTATCAGCAAATATTCTTATATATTATCTTGCTTCAACATTTATTAAGTGCATTTAGCCTATAATCTCTATCTTGTTGCTGACTTTTAACTAAAATATCTGGCGAAACATTTGGATTTTTTGGCTTCTTTCCATTCCTTGGTTTTTTGGGGTTTTTTTGCTTGGTATATTCCTAGCAGAAGAACAGGTGTGGGGACTATAAAGGTTTTCATCTTTTTGTGTTCCATTTTGCTTAGGGCTGTTCCAAATGCAAATATTACCAACTACAAATGTATTTCTTCTTCTTCAAGAATTAACTCAGCTACCTTTTTTTTTTTAAAAAAGCATTCAACCAGTCAAGGCCAGTACTATTAGAAAATTGTTGTTTACCATACCTGGCAAATTTATGCTGACTTAAAGTCAGAACTTTCCCTCGGATTTCAGTAACAATCTTACTCTTGTCTTCAGGGCGGCCATGTTCCAGAACATGCTGAATAACGTAGTTTCCATACTGATCCTAAAATTAGTTAATACAGTCATATCAAAGAGGTGATTATTCACTGCATGAAAATGCTTCAGCATTTAAAAATGTAAGGTATATGAACCAAACCAAACCATGTCCAAGCAAATACTAAGCCAAAATAAAACAATAGAAGGCACAATATTTCACTGGACTGGGCATATCTATCTAATATGCTAAGTGACAAGATCAAGTCAGCACGAGTCACTCATGAGTCACTATTTTGACTATTATACAAATTGCTCCACTTCCTGTGTCCTCCAAGTTCACATATTCCAGTCAACTTTGATGGAAAAAGAAGCAATATGCCATTACATTGCATATTAATGCAATTAATTACTTTAAAAATGAATTTTTGCATAAGCAGGATGAGATATCTGGGTTTTAAAACTCAAATTGTCTTGAGTGCTACATAGATTTGGAAGGAAAACGTGTATTCTCCTAACTACTATAAGATGTGTCCGACCAAAGTTCCAAGCCATTTGCCACTAGAGTCAACAGTTAAAAAGGTGCCGTCTTTCTACCCATCCCATCCATCTTTCAATTGTTATGTCAGTCTGAGTTGTTCTAAATCATTATTTGCTCCAACAACAGCCCCAAACAAGCTCTTTCTCATTCTCACCTAACAAAAACAACCTGTTCTCCTGACTGGTTCCTCCCATGGAAAGCCTCCAAGATACACCAGACACAGTTTGCCTGGCTCTGCTCATTTTGTCCATGGGCCCAGGCTGGGAAAAGGCAGATTGGAACAGTGCGTTCTGATTGTTGCTTTTTTTTTGGGGGGGGGGGGGGGGGGGGGAGTGGAAGGAACAGTTTCATCACCACCAAAGCCGCCACCTGGAACGGGATGCAAACGAGATGCGTGGAGGCCAAAAATGGGGCACACGGAGACGGAGATGGGCAGCAGCGATTCCCCACAGCCTGGAACAGCTGACTGGCAGTATTCCAGGAGGCTGATCCAACTTCCAATCAGCTGCTCATGCTAAATCAGGCTGTGCTGAAGCTGACAAGACTGTGCTGAAGCTGACCAGGCTGTTTGCTGCAAGGAGGCAAACTGCTGGGAGGCAGAGGCCAAAGGGTGGGGGCCAGGGCTTCAGCAACATTCGCTCTATAAGATGCACAGACATTTCCACCCACTTTTTTCAGGGGTGGGAATTGCATCTTATAGACAGAAAAATATGGCAATCCAGATCCAAAATGTGAAATCTGCTTTGACGGAATTGTATTTCCTGCACGTGTCAGTGCCTCCTTAAAATCACTGCTTCTTTTCCTGTATTTATACACACGGCCCCCCCAAAATGTATATTTAAGAAAGTTATGATAGATGTATTCAATGAAGAAAGCATCATCCATCCATCCATCCTTGGAAGCACTGACAGATTCAGCAAGCATGCCCAGCTTGCAAAGCAACTTTTCTGCTTGGAATCCAAATAACTGCACATTCCTAGTGGAGAGGCACTAAATAATATTATGGAGCAATAAGGCATGGGCAGGTTGCAGCAAAGGCCCATATAAATCAGTAAAAAGCTAAGTCTTCACCTGACATTAAAAACAATGTTAGCATTTGTTTGGTCTTTAAGGAAATGGCAAACCAAAGCTGGAATACCATAAGGGAGATTATAATTACCTTTTACAGCTATGAAGCAGTAAGAGAGCCCCTCCCTGCCCCTGCAAATCTTAATGTTTGTTCAGGTGCACATTAGGAAAATGTTCCTTCAAGTATTAATTAACATACAGGGTTTTAAATTGTAATCCTTAAATATAAGAGATAGCTAGTACAATTCATTCAGAATCAGTACAAAATGGTCTGAAAAATGATTTTTGCCATGGCTGCTGCTTTTGAGTGTTCTTAAAGGGCCCACATAAAGCTTGCTGCGGTAGTCTAACTTGGAGGTTATTAGAGGCCAGAGTACTGTGGTCAAGCATTCTGGTCCAGGAAACGTTGCATATGGCTTCCCTGGAGCCGTTGAGACCTAGTGACTTACAAACCAAGAGATTAAACATGAGATTTTACTTTGTGGTCTGCACATTGCCCTTGTTTCCTAGTGGTCTCCATAGCTTTATCATGAAATAACATCACAGCATATTTTGGTTGGCTTAGAATCTTAATTTTAGTTCTGATCCCATTCTAGCCACATGCCTACATTCACAATCCTGCCTAATTAAATCATATAATATAGTTAGTATAATTAAATTGTACCAAACATAATCCAATATCCATTTACCCCAAAATTATCTACCTATAATGATTTTGCAATTGTTTATGTTCATTTTGGCATTTTAGTATACACCACCTGCACAAGCTGTTCTGTGTGTTGATGCAATTCTTCCAAAATGGGCAAGGTCTGTTCGGCAGTACAATGCTCAAGAATACGTTGAATTACTCTGCAGCCATAAGGGTGAGTTGAAAGCACAAACACCTTAAAATAACAAGATTTTAATTGTAAGAATATATTATCTCAACCTGCATGAAATCTTTAGTATAATTCCCATCCTTATTCATGTCAGATTATGGGAATATTTTAATTGTGCAGCTCCCAGGGAATGTATTTAATATCTGAGGCACTCTATTTCATTTCAAGAAGAAAATAAGAAAAAGTGACAATCTGAATATCTGTCTTTAATCTCCAATTCATTTTGGATAGTTATTTTGCAGTTCACCTTGATGAAGCAACATACTAAACAGGCAGATATTATTAAATGCACCTACACAAATAGTAATTAGAAATCTCCTCAGTCCAAGAATGGAACATTCCAGATAACTCTGAAACATTCCATTCTCCAGCCCTAATAGGAAGTTCTGCATAGTGCAATACATATAAAGCTAAAGGATCGAATGATTCATAGCACCTCCTAGAAAAATCTTTCAGTGATAAGTCATAAGAAACAGGAAGGTTGAAAGTTTTGAAATTTATATTTCATAAATCTCTATAACTGTAAATTGAATAAAGTAAACTACTTTCAGTACATGCAGGAAGACTTACAATACGGGCACCAAGGAAAAATCTCTTATAGAATAAAAGGCTATTCTTGTACAATACAAATCCAAAACTGAAGTTGTATGCTCACAGTTATCATTTGCCTAATTATGAATTATGGGAGTCATTCCTCATTCACAAAATAATACATGAAAAATTACCTGTCCTTTGAAAGCATCAATAATAAATTGGAGTGATTGTGGCTGAACACATTCAATACACTTTTGTACCACATGATTTCCATTTTGATCCTTAACACATTTTAGGACATGACCATCTAGTTCCTTCACCATTTCATTCTACAAAGAGAGATGAGAGATCCAAATTATAAATGTTCTTAATTGATGTTCCTCTCACAAAATACTTCTATAAATGATTTTCTAGATATGTACTAGCAGTGAGCTAATGTTTGCTGGTACCCAAATGTGAAGTAGGTTACTCCTGGTTAGCATTCAGAAGAGAGACCCAAAGGTGCATTTTCAGGAGGCAACTGGACTTTCTCGTTTTTCTTTGAAGACGTTTCACTTTTCATCCAAGAAGCTTCTTCAGCTGAAGAAGAGCTGAAGAAGCTTCTTGGATCAGAATGTTTCAAAGAGAAATGAGGAAGTCCAGTTGCCTCCTGAAAAAGCACCACTGGGACAACCATGACCTGGATGACTGAGAATCTCCAGAGATTCAGATGAGAGGCCACTAAAAAAAATTCCAGAACTGAAGACTAGACTAAGAAGTCAAAACAGTAACTCAGAAAAAAGCAATAACAATCCACTTATTGCTGGATTCAACCTATCAACCAATTAGCCTATAAGAAGTCACCAGAATTCAAAGAGTATCTTTCAGAACTAATAAAAGGGATTATATTTTGATTATAAATATAAATACAAAATATTGATCTAACTTACAATTACCTGCTGGTCAGGTGAAATAGACTCTAAAGCTTTCTGAATGACTCGACACCCATACATCTGTAAAGCTAAGGGGAGAACATGTCCACGAATGCGCGTTGCAAGTGCTAACTTCTGGTCAATGCTTCCAAACTACAATGAAAGTGAAAGCACTGTTTAAAAAATTTAAACTTTACATGTTCATCTGCAGAAAAGTACAAGTTTAAAAACTTCATGAACAGCATCTGCATTGTTAGTCACTTTATCATATGCTATTACTAGAATCTCCCTTATGTCTCTTCTCAAGGATTTGTATTTCACCACCTGAGAATTAATTGTACATGTAATTTGCAATCCCAGAAATAAATCATCCAGTGAAGGAACTCCAGCTTCAATTTCATCTATACATGTTGTTGTAGAATTATAACACTCAGCAGTCCCAGGAAGTATGACCAAAGGAGGAAAATGCTAAGATTTGTAGCATACTTCAGGTTTCTTATGACTTGGGTAAGCAAAATGGTTTTAAAGCAATACAACTTGATTTTTATGAATTTCTAAATTATTGGAGAGAATGTCTTTCTAATAGAGAACAAGTGAAATAAATCATTTGGTTCTCACATATATAATATAAATAATACTGATCCTCTCAAAAAAGTTACAATTTAAATAAGCCTAATTCTTCAAAATTGCAGGATATATACAGTTGATGCTTTCAGGATGATATTGATTAGGATGGGGAAATTGTTCCCTTTCTTCTAGGATTTACAATTCTTTGGAAGTGATAAAAGGGAGATTTCAGTTTGTTTTCTGGTTACAGAATAATGAAGGAAGATTGCTGTAAGCAAGAAACATGACTGAAAACTAGCATGGCCTGAAATTGTTGCCTTAGATAAGAACAAGGGATCTTAATCTTTTTGTACCATCTACACCAGGCTTGTCCAACCCGTGGCCCACGGGCCCCAATGCCCACCCCAACCATCGTGCCACAGCCAGCGAGGAGGAGGAGAGGCAGGCGCGAGGCGGGGCGAGGCGAGCGCCAGGCCAAGCAGCAAGAGAAAAGGCGGGCGCCGTCAGAGCGCCACCTCCTGCTGTTACCACCACCGCTGCTGCTCCTGCCCCCGCCCCCGCCGCCGCCCCCGCCGCTTCTGCCCCCGCTGCCACCCCCGCCGCTTCTTCTCCCACTGCCACCCCCGCCGCTTCTGCCCCCGCCGCCACCGCTTCTTCTCCCGCCACCGCTGCTGCTTCTGCCCCCGCCGCCGCTGCCCCTGCGGCGGGGGCAGAAGCAGCGGCGGTGGCGGGGGCAGAAATGGCGGGGGCAGAAGCAGCAGCGGTGGTGGGGGAAGAAGCGGCGGCGGCGGCAGAAGCGGCGGCGGCGGGGGCAGAAACGGCGGGGGCAGAAGCAGCAGCGGTGGAGAAGCGGGGGAAGAAGCAGCGGCGGCGGCAGAAGCGGCGGCAGCAGCAGTGGCGGGGGAAGAAGCGGCGGCGGGTG